AAGCACGGGCAAGCAGGAAGAGTGTGACCAGACAGGAGCCACACAAGAGCAATTCTTTTTGCTTACCATGTATTTTTAGTTATTACACTGTATCTACTGGTCTCTGCTCTCCAAAGGTACCTCTTAAAAAGATGAGCAGTTCCTGGAGAGTCAGGTTATTTATAATATGGAAAGAGTTGGGCCAATCAACTGGTAAGTCCAGGGTGTCTTTTAGGAATGTTTTGGCTTTGCTTTTTTGAAAAGTCTACTGTTAGCTTACAGGGACAAGCTTAAACCCCAGTGGTATCTTGGCATTGTCCCCCTCCCTTGACTTTTCCAAGAACCCTACCAAAAAGACAGCCTGGGTATGAAAAACACTTATTTCTTTCCTGGGGAAATCCTTTTGACAGCTGAGACCTGATGATTCTATGTGGCCTGGAATGAGGTGTTGTTGAGATGATTAATGTGCCCGTATTTCAAGGAACTTTTTGGTGTTGTTGTTGACATTGCAGGGTTCATTTACCCCTCTTCACCAAAGTAAAAAAAAAAAAAAAAGACTTTTATTTTTCCATTTGTTCAGTTCAAGCTTATCAGTCTCTTGCCTATAAAGACTAATTTGTCTTTTGCTTGCAGTGTCACATGTTGCTCAGTGACTCTGCCTTATTGGTATTCTTGAGCAAAACTGAGTCTCAGGTAATGTATGCTAGACAGATACTCATTTTCACCCCTGATTTTTCCTGGTATTTTGCCATCCTCATAATAATTGACCCACTATCACTGCTACAGGGTTCATGTTAAAGAATAAATTTTTCTAGTGACATGGAACATTTAATGGTGAAGATGTTAATAATACAGTACTTTAAATGCGATTAGACAAATTTGTTTAAAGAGGAAATAAAGGGAAGGATGCATCTTCCCTGTCTTTCTATTCCTTCTGCCCCACCTCCATCTGAGGCTTTTATGGAGGAAAGAGCATATTTGCTTTTAATCTAAGGAAAAACATCACTGCTGAGTAAGAAACTGGTTACAGTTTTCTTCAGGATTCGTATCCCAACTGTTCCTGTGTACCACTCTGGACATTATATGGCAATCAACATGCTTCCCCCAGGGACATGGGGGAATGGAGTTAAATCCAGTTGATGGCCGGTCACGAGCGGTGTTCCCCAGGGCTCAGTTTTGGGGCCGGTCTTGTTCAATATCTTTATCAATGATCTGGATGAGGGGATCGAGTGCACCCTCAGTAAGTTTGCAGACGACACCAAGTTGGGTGGGAGTGTTGATCTGCTCGAGGGTAGGAAGGCTCTGCAGAGGGACCTGGTCAGGCTGGATCGATGGGCCGAGGCCAGCTGTATGAGGTTCAACAAGGCCAAGTGCCGGGTCCTGCACTTCGGCCACAACAACCCCATGCAGCGCTACGGGCTTGGGGAAGAGTGGCTGGAAAGCTGCCCAGCAGAAAAGGACCTGGGGGTGCTGGTCGACAGCCGACTGAACATGAGCCGGCAGTGTGCCCAGGCAGCCAAGAGGGCCAATGGCATCCTGGCCTGTATCAGAAATAGTGTGGCCAGCAGGAGCAGGGAAGTGATTGTGCCCCTGTACTTGGCACTGGTGAGGCCGCACCTCGAATACTGTGTTCAGTTTTGGGCCCCTCACTACAAGAAGGACGTTGAGGTGCTGGAGCGTGTCCAGAGAAGGGCAACGAAGCTGGTGAAGGGTCTGGAGAACAAGTCTTATGAGGATTGGCTGAGGGAACTGGGGTTGTTTAGCCTGGAGAAAAGGAGGCTGAGGAGAGACCTCATCGCTCTCTACAACTACCTGAAAGGAGGTTGTAGCGAGGTGGGTGTCGGTCTCTTCTCCCAAGTAACAAGCGATAGGATGAGAGGAAATGGCCTCAAGTTGCACCAGGGGAGGTTTAGATTGGATGTAAGGAAAAATGTCTTTACTTGAAAGAGTGGTGAAGCATTGGAACAGGCTGCCCAGGGAAGTGGTGGAGTCCCCATCCCTGGAGGTATTTAAAAGACGAGTAGATGAGGCACTTAGGGACATGGTTTAGTGGGCATGGTGGTGTTGGGTTGATGGTTGGACTCGATGATCTTAGAGGTCTTTTCCAACCTTAATGATTCTATGATTCTATGACAGAGAAAACCAAATTCATACCAATATCAATGTTTAATCAGTGCTAACTACCAGTATCAGTGTTAACTTTTTAGCTACAGATCGGTAATGTTATTTGCAGGGTGGAGCACAGTTCCAGGCAGAATTGGTAGATCAAATTTTGCACTGGGCTGTTGAGCCTTGCAGAAGTGAGTAAGGAAATAAGCTCAAACCACAGTAAATAGCATCACCCCCCTCCACGACTTTGGGAGGGACATATTCTCACCAGTCTTGTCAGAGGAGTTACGTATGGCAGGAAGAGAGGTGTGCATGGCATGACTTCTCAGGAATGGGGATGTCCTTCATGGGTATAAGCGCCTGATCTTTGGATGGCAGTCTGTCTAACACTCAGGAGTTTTTTTCTGTGTGAAGCAGGGGTCAAGTCCAGAAAGATATTATACTAATATATATATTTTTTTTTTCCCATGGAAGTTAGGAACTAAAAGGTTTTCCATAAGGTACGTGCTGCTGAATTGTAAAAACCTAGTAATGAAAGGGAGGACAGCCAGCCATAGGCACAACCTCAGATGCAAGAAATCAGAGAAACCAAACCATCTGGCCCTGAAAGAACTTACAAATGAGAGAAGGTGGCCTTGGACATCTGTGTCAGGACCCCACACTGTGTCTCAGCATTAGCAGCCAATCACATTTATCAGGCAGGAACTTGTCTCCCAGACAATATTAAACACTAAACTAAACAAAGAAGCATTTTCAAGCTCTATGTTAGTTAGCATCCATTTGGAATGAGATCCCTCCGTGTCCCCAGATTGACAGGCAGATTCTTCAGGGGATGAAGACGTTGGTCCAACCCTGGCATCCTTGTCTGCTGCAGGGATCTCCACTGACCTGTCTACTGAGATGCCTTCAAGACTCAGGGATAAAATCTTGCTTCAATAGCACTTTCCCGGGTCAGGACAATAGCAACTCTTGAGATTTGTGAAAACAAATATCACTTTCTTGGTAAGGGCTTTTCATGGGCAGAGGAAGAGAAGGAGAGGTACTGGGGAACAGCTCATAAAGCAAAAACGACTAACAAGTTTCGTGTGTGCGCACATGCCTGCATATGAGAGAGAGGAGGAGGGAGAGAATGAATCATGGCTGAAGAAAAGAAGGTCTTTCATCTGAAAGTTCAGCACAGATTCCTGAATTGCACATATTATATGCATAAGGTGCGAAAGCTGAGCTGAGGAGAACACATGCCTAATTTGTTAAGAAACAGCAAATCCCCAGCAGCAACCAAGAAGAAATTAAACTTGTATTCAACATATTCATAGCTTAAAAATGATCTTAGCTTGTATGAATGTGAGGTCAAAATGGAATTTTTCCTCCAGGTATGTACATAAATTAGGTAGCATTAATAGGAAGTAACCAGTCCATTTATTTGTCAATAAGCATTCAAAGTGAAGGCTGAATGAGCCTGTGCCAGAAGGAATGGAAACTAGTTTGCATTTCATGATTATGTAAAGCAGTTCTTGGTAGAATGAACTTCTTGTGACCTCCTCCCCCCCTCTTTTTTTTTTCTTTCTCTACCACCCTGGCAGCACATATTTATTTAAATAATTTTCAGTTCTAACAGTGTGTTTGTGTGTTACTTTTAATCAGCATGAGATGGCTTTTGTATTGTTTGTCCTGCTTCATCTTATGCTTCCCTTCTAATATGGAAAGAAAGAAAAAGTAGTATTTCTGGGTGTGCCCTTGCTCTAGAAATGTAGTGGTCTTCCAGTGATATGAGTGAACATTTCCTTACTTAACCAGCTAGCAAGACTAGTGCAGAGGGAGTAGTCAGGAAAACACAAAGAGAAGTAGGAAACACATCCTATTTGAGGACTGTTCCATTTCACGGCAGTTAATAGATTTTACTGTCTTAGAGAACTGGATGATACCAATTTTTCACTAGTACTGCCAACTAATTTGATGTCTGGTTTTCAAAAGACAGGTTGCGGGTCTTTTCCAAAATCCAGTCCTTTAAAGCAACCAAAAAACTTGTACATCAGTGTAACTAGTCACATTTTGAATGTTTTGGTCAGTGCCCCAAAATGCTTTCTATGGAAGTGGGCTGGTCAGAAGTGGAATTTCACTGCGGTAGCAGCCGCTGAGATAGGCATTTGGGGCCTCGATCAGGGGAGACTGAGAACTCGTATACACTAGAAACGCCAATAGCTTGTATGGACCGAGTGGATAAATAGGTGCTTGAATGAAGACTCATTTAATAACTGGTGCCAAATTCTGCGATTTCTTTAGTCAGGTCTCAGATGTAATGAGACTGAAAACTCAGTTACTTTCTCAGTCCTAGGAATTATCCTTCCTGGCTGCCACTGAGGCATAGTGCATTAAGGCACATTGTGCAAGCAGAAGAATTCATTCTTTAGTACTGTTGACTCAATACTTTCCACCTGTATGAAATCTGTGCTTTCAGAATTGGACAAAATATTCATATTATTTTATATGTAAAACATTTTGATTTTACATGCATCTTAAACAAAAATTGAATTTCAGAAAAGTTTCTGTTAATAAATGGAGAAAAAAAACCATAATGCTTTTTATCTATTTATTTACTTATTTATGCTTAACACACCCTCAGGTCAAAAGAAGGAATGCATTAAAATGACCTTGACCTTCTGGTGCAATAGAAATTTTGAATAAACTTTTAATATCTTTCTCAATACTCCTAGTCACACTTCACATTTAAAGGAGAAAATTGAGAATAAGTGAAAAAGTTCCGAACGTTGGGCAATTATCCACAGTCCCTTGCTGCTGTTGTTGATCTACATGAAGGAACAAGGAAGTAACAAGATGTCAGAAAGTCATTGTATTGTGAGCTGGAACAAAACAGTTTTAAGAGCTTTTGCTTTTTGGAATTTGTTTTCAAGATGCGTCAAGTTCGTGTTCACTCAGGATACGATATGAAGAAGGTTTTGTGCAGTGAGGAATGAAGATTTAATAGCCTGATAAGTAGAGAACCTTACAGATAATTTCAAGGTGTTAATCTAACCTTGCTGTGCCTTTAATCTTTTGGCGTTCTGGAGAATGTAAAAAACAAAAGCTGACTGTTTTAATATCATAGAGTAGTCATGGAGAAAAAATTTCTTCCAGCAGAGCAGCTTTTAAATAAATTATTACTTTTTTTTTCTGTGATGGGAAAAAATAACTGTAAGATGGATTTAAAGGGAAGTGAATTTACTAAGTGTCCTGCATCTTTCTCTCTCACTAATTAGTAACAGTCAAATGCTCTTGTTCTGCAGACAGTGACTACAAAGAAAAGGATAAAGAACTTGGGAAAGACTCTACATCCAAAATAATTAGGCAATTTATCATTTAGGGTAATTGGACTTGTGCAAAGCAGCATTATTTACCACAGGTTTCCATTTCTTCTAACTGGGTGTGAAAAATACGGCTACATTGATTGGGAAATGCTCTTAGTGTTTTTTCCAATATGCATTGTGCCAGGGACGTTCAGTTCAAAGTGTGGTGTTCCTCCCAGTGATTTCTTTTCCCTCAGTGATCTTCAGAGGCAGCCTTCAGATTCTAAAACCTCAAACCAAAATTAGATTAAAGTACCCAATATGGGGTCAGAAATGGGAGGGAAAGCGAGAGGGGTTTCCACCGGGGAATTTTCACTTAACAAATGAAAGCCTGTGCTTTGTTTCAAAGGAAAAATTGCCAAGTGGAGGCACATCTTATTCACATCGGTAGCCAGCTGACATGTTTATGCTGATTTCCAGAGGTGTGTAAGTACAGGAATCAGGGGCTCCAAAACTCCTGCCTCTGTGATGTGGAAAACACAAGCATTTAAGCACCACTGGCAGATAGCTCTGATGTTGTTTCAGTGTGAAGGGAGAAGGGAGGAGTAGTCACGAGGGTTTACTTGAATTTCATTTCACAATTTGCCGGCAGTATGAATGCCCCTTCACCCAAAGGTGAGTTTTTCCATCGTTTTTCCAAGGAGGGCCCAGCTACCCCTTTGCAGTTTGTCAAATCATGGCACTCTCCCAGCTTTGTGCTGTCGCCCTCCACTCGAGAAGATTACGTCTTCACAAGCAGCTTTGCTTGCTGTGGACGCTCCGGAAATATTCAAACTTCCTAGATTTCACCGCCAAGGTCTCTGGTACGTGGTGACCCCACGGCTGACTTTCTGCCGGACCCCGGGGGTGGCCCAGGGTGTCACATCACGCTCCAGCATATGTGGCTTTGCGCTGCGGGTACTTTGTGGTGCTGGCACCCCAGTGCTCAGACACGTGTCCCCAGGCTTTGGAGCGAGGAAATCAACTAGTGGGAGAAATTGTTATTTAAAAGTGATCTTGCTCTACCTGCCTGGTAGAAACCAGCCAGCAGAGATCCTTGCTGGGAGGAGAAGTGGGGGGGAATAAGGTGATGTTTAAAAGCATTTTACTCCCTGCCTGTGAGAAATTCACAAATATGCACTGCTGGGCTGTCATAGGTGGGTGCCGCAGAAGTGCTTTTAAGTGGCACAGCTTGACACCAGTTGCATGCATGTCTTCAGATAGTGTCACAGGTTGTGAGTTTTTCCCCCAACAGCTTGTTATTTTAAAACATTTGTATGTGTTTGATACCTTCTTTAATAAGAAAGTCATGACAACCAGCAATTTCCTATGGAGATACGAGGAGCAAGAAGTAGTAGGTTGTTACCTAAAATACTGCCTGTCGCCTGAGCAAGCTCAACGTGAGAGAAAATGCACAATTTGGATGCAAACTGGGAGCGCTTGATCCCTCACCAAAGGAGTGAGTGAGCTCCAGTACTGAAAGGCATACCTCTGTGGGTGTGGCCACACTGTCAACCGAGAAAGATTCCACCATTTGTCAGTTTTTGTGCAATATCATAATTTGTTGGATGTTTACATTGATTACCTGTGTTGAGCAGAGCAGCCAGCCAAAATTTCAGGGTCTTTGGGTTGTTTGGCTTAGAGCTAGGATCCAAATATCTTTGAAGTGACCCTACTTATTTACAATGAATGTATAAACTGTCTTTTTGCCCAGCCCAGCAGGAATCGAGCAGCAGGACGTGGCTCCTGCGCTCACAGCTCTGTGGAGCGACCTGGACGGTGGCAGTCCCTCTCCAAGCTGGGATTGCCGTACTTCTGAGTCCATGCCTGGTGCTTCCTCATCTCCTTCTTTGTTTTCCTTTTCTGATCCTTTTCCTTCTTTCCTGAACACACAGGTCTGTGCAGAGAACTATCCAGAGAAACCACTCTGCCCACAGATGCCTTGCGCATAACCTTGCTTGTCATTTTGCATTGTGATAGTCGCCTGTGCGACTTTGAACAGGGGCTGTAATTCTCCTTACTTGATTCTGTAATGGAGCTTATCTGTTTCTTATATTTACCCAGAGAGGCGAGTGGTTGCTTTACCTACAGGTTTGAACAATGTTTAACCCGAACTGTAACTGTCAGGCAAACAACTTTCTTTTCTTTAGGTTTGGTACTCCGCCACTTTGGCACTGCAGACTTCTGCGGTGGGAGCAAGATACTGTATCTTTTCTAAATATTTTAGGTTATTTTAGCACTTTTCATACGATAACACCCAAACGATACATAAATAATAACCTCTAAATGTACCTACAAGGCTTGTAATATTAATGGCCCTGCTTTTTCAGGGTGAGGCACAGAGAAGTTAAAAGTTTTGGCATGGGAAATAAAGAACTCAGCAAGCAATATTTGCATGTTCTGGTTAACTTATATCCCACAAGGAATCCTTTGTAAAATCATCTGGTGTTTCCCCCATGGGTTTAAGTGAAAATACAGTGATTTTCATCAGAGGTCCAAATCACAAGTCAATAAGTCTACTGGTGTGCACAAATTAAAGGATGTGCATGCATCACCCTATGCAAGGCCAGAAATGCAAATTGTGTTTTTTCCAGTGTTTTGAGTAGTCCCTACAAAGCACACTCCTTTCCATTGTGCAGGGGAAAAAAAAGAGATATTGTCTATGAAATTCATTAAACCATAGATTTTAAGTTTAGGAGTTTGTTACTGTGCAGTCTAATCTTGTGTACAACCAAGGGCATAGGACTTCACTGAATTAATTCTGTTTAAATTAGTATATCTGTTTAAAAAAAACCCTCCCAGTTGTTTTAATTAGATGGCATAAAATGTCTTTGCTGACTTTGAAAATGAAGGACCCCAAGAAGAACAAGCAAAACAAAATGCTTTAGCAATCTTTTTAATTATCCTTGTTCCATTGTTGCAAGTTTTGCTGTTCTAGAAATGTTGGGCAAAACTGTCTTTAACACGTTGTCTTTATAGGATTGTGGAACCTTCCACATTTTGCGTTAATTAAACATATAAATCCTACAAACTGTATCCAGGGTAACTGCAAACCAAGAGCCTGATTCTCAGTTTACAGTTATGCCCTCTTTCACCGCTCCTGTGATGGGAATGGACTGTCAAGGTGTGTGTACATCATCCTCACACTTTATCTGCAGCAGTATTATCATCACCTCATTCCTGCATGATGCTATCTTGTTAACGTATAAACAAGCGCTTGCAACTATGGTAAGGCCTGTTTATGCTCCCGTAGTAGGACCTTAGTGCAACTGAGAATCAGGCTCTGAAGACACATCTCTTGTTCTTACAATCCAGCTATTTAAAGGAAAGGAGCAATGCTCATCTTGCTGGCAAGGAGCACAAAGCAAACCAGAAATTCAGAAAATGATAAGAGAAAGAAAAGACAAAACATGACACACACCATTAAGTTTTCCTTCTTTATTAGTGGGAAGAACATAGATGTTTTTGTCTTGCTGTGTACTGACTTTGATAGAAGTGTAGCCCATGCAAAATAATAATTTTCTTATAAAAGTTAAAGATGGAGTGGAAATATTTTTTTTTATTCTTTTTTGCTCCCACCACCTTCTTTTATATTCTCTGTTGGACTGAAGTAGGAACCTTGATATAGGAATGCAGATAATTTGATTAAATTTTGGATCTTACCGGAGATGAAGTTCAGCTTGTAGAGTAGTAACGTAGAGATGCCTGTCATTTAGGAAATCTGCAAAGACTTGACCCAAAGCCTCGGGAGGGTGTTGCTTTGGTTCAGATCCTGAGTGAGATCAGTGCTGTGCTTTTATAATCAAGAAGCTGCTGTTGCTGGGCTCAGGGTTACAGTTGTACACTCAGCCCCAGAGGACCAGCTGCTCTGCTGTAAATTGGTGCTGGTACTGAGGGGGAGTGAAAGACACAGTAAACACGCAGAGTAGCAGTAAATGACAAGAGGATATGATATGTAACATTAACCAGGCTCAGTGTTTGCTTAGGTTGTAGAATGGTCTTTTAAATCAATCTTTTATTATCAGTGGAGCCTTAGCAGTGCACTTAAATGGAGAGCAATGCAAGGACACAGAGACTTGGTGCAAAGAGAGCATCCTGCTTTCTCTCCTAGCTCTGATTTTACAGGAAAAAACATAGATAGACCGAGGGCATAACATTCAGATGTGAACTTTTTCCATGTTTGGCAACATTTGGAATTGGGCTCTGATTTCGTTCCCATTCCTGCCATAAGGATTCATCTCGCCACCAGTCCTGACATCCTGCACAAATAGGGCTGGGAATGTCATGCAAGGAGTCCTTGCTTCTACCCTAACCTTTCTGGCAACAGTGAATTTACCAGTTTTGTTTCATCTTTTCCCATAGTTAATTATCCTTCTCCTAAATAAATAAAGATTAGTTTTCCACTTTCAATTTATTGCCCTCAGATTCCCCTGAACTTACTTCATTCTTGGACTGCTGTACAAAAGACACTTTGCATAGGAAAAGTATTTTCTCCTCATTGTGCGACTAGAATTGTAAACTACAGTGATATCACCTGTTGGTGTTTTCTTGTGTTAAAACTGTAAGTTCCTAAAATTATTTCTTTTTATTTCTTTTTTTTAGAAGTTGGACAGTACGTGTGCCTGTTTTCAGAGGTTCACCTATGGGTTTTT